CCACCAATGAGAGTGCAGCACATGTTTGAAACGATCGGTGATGATCCTCTGGAGATGTTAATGCTTATATCGGCATGATATAATCGATTACAAATATTTTACTTTTCGGTTCGCTAATCGATTAATCGATTATTCGAATGAAAATCGGCCACCACTAGATGAATGTGAAACGTCATTTCAAATATTAGGACCATACATAAATAATGATACAATTTGAATGGGACCGGGGCTAATCACAAATTACGTCCCCACGGTAACTGAAATAAACACGAGTGTTCAGCGGTTGTTTATACCCTTCGGAGTTGGCGCACCCTCCAAAGGCGCGCCCCTTTGTCAGTCAAAATTGGATTCCTTAACAACAAAAACAAGCTATATATGACACCGATAATGACCATGCATCAGAACCCTAGTCTTAACCGAGGTCTTAACCACTTCAAACTAGGGAACAACGATTAGAAGATTAGGAATCACATAGGTGAAGACTATAACTAACTCATTTTTTCCTTGTTTCAAGATCATCCTCGGTCCAGGCAACCCGAGGACTTATCACTATCAACAAGGCATAAAAAGTAACAAGGACTAAGATGTGTTCCTTCGATTACTGAAAAAACCTGTTCCCCTAGGACTAGGAATCGGTGGTAGATCTTACATCCCGTAACGTACCACGAAAAGGTGATCTACCCACGTTACGGGGCATGAAACACAATATTCCAACTATTGATTAATTGATCTTAGTTGGTTAATTAATGGCACCAAGAAATGTGCTAAATATTGCAATGCAATCAATTATTAACTTGCACGTAAATCGAACCAAAAGTGACTAAACTAAAATGAGAGCGCTGTGTGTTGTTAAAATAGGCGCGCAAGTGACAACGACCGGTTGCTCTTATAGCAACCGTAACGATCGTTGTCTTTTGCGCGACTATTTTAACAGCGCACAGCGCTCTCATTTTAGTTTAGTCACTCTTCTGCACACCCGTCGCTGCTATCGCGGTTATCAATTTACTCGCCGTAGTCCGTAGTGAGCATTTTGACATTTCTACCAATATCAACCTTTCTCCCGCGCTGCTATGGCGCTGCTAAATTTGGTAACGCGCTTCTCACGCTCACGACCGGTACGGACTACGGCGAGTTAGAGTCGGTGTATAATGAGTCACGCCAAGAGTGAAGCCAAGTCTACCTATAGGCTCTTTTTATTCACCATCAATGTAGAGTGCGCTAGCCGATTTTGAGAGGAAATGTCATCCAATCCATTTTTTTTACATCATAATGACGATTTAAAAAACTCAAAATAATGTACATTTTATTGCACAACTTGCAAATTTCCATCGGGAGTGGTCTTATTTTTCGATTATCTACAGATCTGAACTGATTTGCAGCTGTAATAACCATACATTAAAAATCCGGAAGATCATAACCGCGGAAACAATTTTATGTATCTTAATTTTTCTCATCAAACATATATGGAATCACCAGCTGGATCACTGCAAACCCGATACAGAAAACAAAATATTCCACGTGGATGATGATTTCAAGCACCTGCGGTGGATAAATTAATCAGGAAAGGTGAAAATATTTTCTTCTTCCTATGCTTCACGGTGAAAATTTCCACCCTTATCACTCTTTTGAGGGTTACTCTATTCACCACCAGAAGCTGAAGCAATCGCTTAGTTTCTATTGGATTCGCCTATACCAACATCAAAAGCCCAACATTTTTCGTCCGTGGAAAATTTCCAGAAGACATCACCGATGGAATTACCTTCTGGAAGAACGTGACTGTTCCTTGGCAAAGGAATGTTTCCATAATGTTGTGAATGTCTCTGTTTTCAATGTTGACTGCACCGAGCGGCCGAGCGACAAGCAATAATTATTCTTGTATTCCTTAAAACAGCTTTTATCGGGGTGCGGGAAACGAACTACGAGTTTCTCCGTAGTTAACATTGATTTTATGGATAACAGCAACCCTACCAATTCTAAATATATGAGTAGTGCAAAATTTGCTAACAAAAATTGGAATAAATGAGTTTCATGTGCGTCCAATTATTATTAGAATGCAATGTTTATTTTTCACCTAATTAAGCTTTTAATATAACTGGGTAACCCGGTACAAGCATGCACAATATAACTGACTTGCCAGTTTAATTGTGACAAAATAACGATCACATTGACTGGGCTTTCCAGTTAATATTGCCGAAGGCAACTCGCATAAATTACTGGATATAAAGTTTTTTGACAGATTGACTTTTACGGACAGTTCGGTAATGATTTGTTTTGCTGTGATGATTACACGGTTAGAAAAAAGTACCCAAAATTAAGTTCTTTTCACTCATCTCGGCACTATAGTGCAGGAACCCAAAAGTAGGTAAAGCGGGTCAAAGTAATTTTCATTTACTTGTGTGCAGTTCGTATGGAATTTTCCACTGGATTTTTAACCAAGAGTAAGTTAGTTGTACCCAACAGTACGTGAATATGATTATACTCAACGTTGGGTTCCCACACTTTACTACCCCTGTTGGGTGGTTTTGCTCCTCCGTTTTTGACAACATTAGAAGGAGAAAAGGAGACAAACTAGTCAAAAGTAGGTAAAAGTGAACTTTCCGTTGGGTACTTTTTTCTTACCGTGTACTGGGCGATCCGCAATTCAAAAACCCAGTAAAATTTTACTGACTCCAGTAATCTAAAGTTAGTGTGTATGAAAGGTCCACGAAAGGTATTGCAATAAAATATAAAATATAATCGAAGAAATGAGCATAAACACGCATTGAGCGTTAAATTGTCATGGGATACGCTCGGTAATGATTAGTAATGAGAATTTCTACTATTTTTTGTTAAGATAATTTGACAAAATCACTGATATAATGATTTACTACAGTCGCAATATTTTTCTCTCGCTAGAAGTCATTTGAAGTTGTTGTAGAAGTCCTCAGTTGCCAAGTGAAAAGAATGGGAATCTTCCGAAAACCGTGACGCGAGTTCGACTGTTTTTCTCTTGGCGTGACTCATACACCGACTCTACGGCGAGTAAATTGATAACCAGCGATAGCAGCGACCGGTGTGGAGAAGAGTGACTAAACTAAAATGAGAGCGCTGTGCGCAAATGATAACGACCGTTACGGTTGCTCTTAGAGATCGAATAAAATTGAACGAAGCCCTGTCACACACACAAAAAAAAATAGAATCCGTTTAACGGCTACGATCTGGTGTGCCTTCACAGTGTGAGCGGGATGAAATGAATGATGTATAGCGTTAGAAAAGAATAGAATGACACCGGGTCCTGCTAACTGCATGAAATTATGATACTCCTCATTCTGTTTTATATACTTCAAGTAAGTGGACGTGTTTTTCATCGCAGGACTAGTTGGCTCATTTGGTTCTTGATAAAAGGGATACTACATTTCAAAGTAAGTGAAAATGGCTGCACAGTGCAAATATATGTGGGATTCGATGAAAAAATCAACAGTTTTATTGATCGCAATTCATAGAGCAAAAAAAAAAAGTTCCTTTTTATATGCAGTATAAAGGTCAAATTTATGTCAATCACCGGTATTACCGGATTGTCCCGATGGTTGAATCTCGAAATCCAAGTTAATAAACACCACTCTAATGGCGGTAAGCTCCAGCTCGGATTAACTTTTAATACCATCCCTGTTTGGATGAACTGCAAAATATTTGCTTAGTGTCACATTGATTAACTCTGATGTCGACATCAAAGCAGCCGGACATTCTTGATAGGGATTTAATCCGTGGAAAATTCCGGTTGGAGATTACCACCATAAGCAAACATTTAGCAGATCATCAAAGAACATGGACGGTATTAATAGTTAATTCAAGTTGAAGTTTACCGCCACTAGTGTCATTTATTAAATTCCAGTTTTGTTCAGCCGGATTCACTGGCTGGAAAAAAGGCTTGCCGGTAGGTTGCAATGACGCACACCAACAAAAATGTGTATGAGCACAGTAAAAAAAACCTAAGTAAAAGTAGAAGCATTTTTTGCTTTTCTGCCAACGGTGTGCTATCATATGAAGGCAATTTTTATTAGAATTTGCGTAAGCCAGTCGAGAAAAAATAATAAACTTAGTTTTTATTTATTTAAATTTTCAATTTCAGATATTTTACTAGTCTATTGAGTTGCGACTTTGGCTTAACACCGTGAGGACAGTTTCTGCTGGTTTCTGGATAACACTTGACTGAAAAAGAGTGCAGTTACTGGTGTTCTAACTTAAATCGGGTAAGGTGATCGTAGGTATTTTTTTTTAGTATGTATTGGTCCACAAATGGCCGCCACATAGGCTAGCATGCTCTTTCACTTCGAATTTTCAATTACACAAATCTCGGTGCCCCATTTCACCTGAAATTGCTTGTTGTCAATTTCGCGAGAAATCGGCCAGGGACGTGTTGGTTTGCAAAAGAAATTACGCCCTAATCTCAAAGTTCTCCGGAATTGTGAAATAATTTGTGCGTTGATGACTCACCATGAATTTCGCAATTTTCGAGAATTTTTCGCGACTCACTTATCAGTCTCTATGGCGAAGAGAGTGATATGTTATCACTTGCTTGCCGGTAGGTTGCGATGTATACACAGCAAAAAAAAAAAAAATGTAATATCGATCAATGTAATTCAAGCTGATGTATGAAATAATGATGTAATAGCAAAAAGCAGATACAATATTACATCAATGGAAGTAATTTTGTTCGCAAAATCGATGTACATCGTACAACGTTATATTACACAACCGATGGATTGACTTGGTTGCATCAGTTTGGGTGTAATATTCAACAACTTTTTTCTGTGTAGATGGCGTACATCAAGAAAAAATGTGTTTGAGCACAGTAAAAAAAAAACGTAAGAAAATGTAGAAGCATTTTTTTTTTGCTTTTCTGCCACCGATGTGCTATCATATGAAGGCAATTTTTATTAGAATTTGCGTAAGCCAGTCAAGAAAAAATAATAAACTGAGTTTTTTTTTTAATTTTCAATTTCAGATATTTACTAGTCTATGGAGTTGCAACTTTGGCTGGACAATTTTTGCTGGTTGATGGATAACACTTGACTGAAAAAGAGTGCAGTTACTGGTGTTCTAACTTAAATCGGGTAAGGTGATCGTAGGTAATTTTTTTTTGGTATGTTGTAAGATCCGAATGCTAACGATTTAAATAGCCGAGTCAGATATTTTTTGGCTCACAGTTGAATTGGCCACAGCAGTTTTACCACAAACGAAGTGACAGACGGAGCGGCTCGAAAACTTTGGTGACTAACCTGCTATTGCAATTTTTCAGTGTACCACATGGCAACACCACTACTACTGGATTGAACCACATGGCAACACTACTACTGGATTGAACTAGCATTTTCACCAAATGTACTAGAATGTTTTGGTTCTATCTCTTTCACTCTACTCAAAACTGAAATGCATTAAAAAATGATAAAATGATACGCACTCTTTGCACACTGTCAAAGAATCATTGTACACAAAATCAACTTTGTTCAAATCAAAACAAAAAAACTAACCCATCTGGTGGATGATGGCACAAGCTTCCAAGAAAATTCTGTTACAGTGAACCACATTATTTAAATGGATTTCTTCGCCAGTTAGTCGTCTGTCACTTCGTTTGTGGTTTTACGGAATTTGCTTGACTCTTTTGTTATAATTTAAATGTGTCAATGTATGTTTAAAGCTAGAAAATAAAAAGTGATTCTTCCTGCAAAATTCTCATACAGCTCACTCAGCAGAATGCAATTCAGTGCCAACATTTCAAAGGGGCGTAATTGCTTTTGTAAACAATGACTTTAGCCGTCAATTTCTCGCGAATGAAATCTTACCTCTCCAAAATGACAATGCTAACTGGTAGAGGAAACATTCCTCTACCTGCTGGTGTCATTATTTTTCATGAGTGAGCTTTTATTCACGAGAAATCGACGGCTAAAGCCATTGTTTACAAATGCAATTACGCCCCTTTGAAATGTTGGCACTGAATTATAAAAGGCTCAGCATGGCAAAAATAATAAAAGAGAAATCATCCACACTACTACACTCAGAATCATTCATGTTACGCTCAACTGTCTGTTTTGCTCAATTCTGCGTTCATCGAAGAAAATAGAAGCAATGCGAATTGGCAAATCAAAGTTGGCACTCGTGGAGAATAGAAGAACTATAAAAGTGATGATGGTTTCAAAATTTTCCACGGGGAGGTATACAAATGCAATCTTAAAATGCTTTTATTTTGCAAATTGAGCATTTTATTTAATTCTGGTTGCTGCTACAGTTGTAGAAAAGCTGAAATCTATGTCTACACCTAAAAATCTGAAAAGAAATTATTTTTCTATATTATGTGTCTATTAAGTAGTCCTTAAGTTTTCTACTAGCGTAGCATTAACCAGAATTAAATAAAATGCTCCATTTGCAAAATAAAGGCATTTTAAGATTGAACTCGTATACCTCACCGTGTATAATTTTGAAACCATCATCACTTTCATAGTTCATCTATTCTCCACGAGTGGCAACTTTGATTTGCCAATACGAACGAAATCAGTGCGGCTCGCACAAGCTGCTGTTCGTTCCTGATGTTGTATGCGTGTGAGTGAGTAGTAAATCAAGCTAAACATTGCAATAGGTCCTAAGTAACATTGACAGATTCTCTTCGTCGAGTTTCTCTTTGTATTCCTACGGCCATGTAAAGACATTCCCAGGTATTTTCAGCACACATATCGATAAAAGAAGCTTTTATCTAGCATCTAATACGACAAACACAACATGAAACGGTTATGTGCTCAAGTTATTAACGAAAAAGAAATTCGATGAAGAGAATCGATCAATGTTACTTAGGACCTAATGCAATGTTCAGCTTGAAATGCAAAATGAATCGATTTTTCCCAGTCGCTAAATTCGCGGAAACATTTAATTGGCGTTGACGGCACCGTCGAAAAATTTGCTCTTTCTGCAAATATAGACAGTTTCTTATAGGAATTTTCGGTGGAGTGAAAGGATAGTACAAAGTCCGCCATGTTTCACGCACAGTCTGACGTTTGCTTATGGATTTTCTTATAGGAGTAAAGAGCTACAGAGTCGCCGTCAACGCCAATGATTTCACGAACATGGCGAAGAGAGTGATGTGCTATCACTTGCTTGCCGGTAGGTTGCGATGTATAGATGGCGCACACTAAGAAAAAATTATAAATTCAGGCTCTTTAGAAAAAATGTGTATGAGCACGGTAAAAAAAAACGTAAGAAAAAGTCGAAGCATTTTTTTGCTTTTCTGCCAACGATGTGCTATTATATGAAGGCAATTTTTATTAGAATTTGCGTAAGCCGGTCAAGAAAAATTAATGAACTAAGTTTTTTTTTTTAATTTTCAATTTCAGATATTTACTAGTCTATTGAGTTACGACTTTGGCTTAAGACCGTGAGGACAATTTCTGCTGGTTGCTGGATAAAACTTGAATGAAAAAGGGTGCAGTTACTGGTGTTCTAACTTAAATCGGGTAAGGTGATCGTAGGTAATTTATTTTTGTATGTATTAGTCCCAAATGGCCACCACATGAACATCCACTTCGAATTTTTAGTTATACAAATCTCGGAAATCGGTGCGTCATTTGGCATAGAACACTGGGCGTTTCGGTGGTGGGAAAAAATGACTTCCATATCGATCACAGATTACAAATTCGACAATGAGCATACATAAGGACGTAACCGCGGTGATCGATTTTCTCTTTTGTTAATAACTCGCTTGGATTAACATTTCTCGATGCGTTTGCTGTTGCTTTTGATAGCAAATACAACCTGTTACAGCACTGTTTTGAAAAAAAAATCTGATGATATTCAATCTGAACATTGCATTAGGTCCTAAGTAACATTGATCGATTCTCTTTCGTTAATAACTTGAGCACATAACCGTTTCTTGATGTGTTTGTCGCTAGAAAAAAGTATCTTTTATCGATTTGGATGCTGAAAATACAAGGAGAAAGTCAACGAAGACAATCTGTCAATGTTACTTAGAACCTAAGTGAATTTTCAGCTTGAATTGTTTCACTTAGCTGTAGCAATGTAAAGAAAAAATCGATGAAGAGAATCGATCATTGCAAGTAGGCCCTTTTGAACGCTCACTGTCGAATTTCAGTACCTAGCACTGAAAAAAAATTCGACGGTACGTCTATTTATGTTAAGAGAAAAGCATTGTAAGTCCCTCCTACTTGGAGAATTATTCAATCGAACGGCTTGCTATGCCTCGCCCCCATCAGCAAAAAATCCGGGATTTTATAAACCGTTCTATTGCATAATTTGTAGTCCTATAGCTAAGTAGGATATTGAATTAAAAACAATCAATGGATAAAAGATGTATCGAGAATTAAATGGAGGGATTTCAAGCTAAAATGTTCATCAATACCTAAATTTCGCATAAATCTCCAACCCGTGTTGTGTGTGTGCTGCTGATTTTCACAGTAGCCCAATGCTTAGGGACTTTAATAAATAACGAAGTAGTTGAGGAAGAGAGTTCTGTTTGAAAAGCGATCAATTTCTGGGATTTTCGAACATTGAAAATAACTTTCGAAATGTCACGTTTAATCACGAGTTAAAATTTAACTCGGCATTTGGGACACAGCCAGAGAAGTATTTCTCGATTACTTTTTCGTAGGGACGAATCAGCTTGTGTAAACAACGCATTGGAACGTCGATTTGGCGTAACTGGTAGCTCATTCACGCATGCTAACACCACAGACAAACAGACATAACACATTGAATATTTCTCACTGTAAAACATCGTCGCTAAAACATTACCGCCATCTGTTGAATACACTGTGGTGGGTAGTACCAACCGGTGGAAATTAACGATTTTAAATTGGCTCACTACTTGATTAGCCTATAGGTCCCAAGCAAATCGATCAACGCACCCCATTCTAGTCGAAATTCTAGCACTACACTATGTTTGTTTTGATTCGCTATGAAAGTTTGGCAGATAAAATGAGGGGTTCGTGGATTTTCCTATGTTTTGAGGGATGCATCGATTAGCTTGGGATCGAAGATAGTACCAGAGCTGAGCCAAAAAGTTAAACATGTTTCTTCGGGACCTTCTGGTCTTAGAGTTACAGCAAAAAAGGTTATCTTCCATTTAATTCCACCTAATTAATTTTGGTATCCATGACAGATACGTATTTCGACTACAATGTGCAGTTTTCATCAGTGTTATTCCCACTAAAGAACTTTTCAGCTTATTATTTTTACCTATGGGATGAGTACTTAAGGGGATTAGATTTTGATAAGTTTTTTAATGGGAATGACACAGATGAAGACTGCACATTGTAGTCGAAATACGTATCTGTCATGGAAACCAAAATTAATTAAGTGGAATTGAATGGAAAATAACCTTTTTTGCTGTTTTACATAATACATAAGTTCATGTAAAGTTCCATAACCATTTCAGTTAAAGTTTAGCAGAGATTATAAACATTTTTTTTTCCATTTTGGTAAGGTCAAGTAATGGTTCGCATTTATGCGGGAAGCAAACGGATCTAATGTGGGTGGCCCTTAAACTCTGAGTTTTATAACCCGCGTTGGCCAAGCGTGGAAAGCGTGATTAGCAGTTCCAGAACTATTTATCAAATAGACGAAACAGTATGCTTTTGTGTTTATTTTTTCAAGTAGCCAAAACCACGTCAAAAACATATAATACCTTATAGGGGTGATGGACACCTGCTGCTACAAATAAGAAATCCTTGTAGAATAAATTTAGAACTACATTCTTTTTTTTTGCCTTAACTAAATGAAGATATTTGTGTTTGTTAAAACCATGCAAGGCTACATTTATTGTGAAAAGAATGTTGACGATTTAAAGCAGCAATGTTCATCGTTCCTGCTGTACCCGTCTTTCCCTAATAGAAATGGTATGGTTAATTTGCTTAACGACGTGTTCTGGGTATCATCCAAACCATTTGTGGAATAGTTCAACTATTTGGACTATCGTTTGATAATGGTTATTTTTTATTAGGGTTACCGACTGTTCTCTAGCACTTTATCATCATTTCTAGGTTCAACATGACGATGACGACGAACTCAAATCAATCACAAATGATTGATGACCGAGATCTAGATCAAGATCCCGACCAATCCTTTGTGGTCAAGATGCAGAATTTCGTAAAACCTAGGTGGCTGGTAAGTTAACCTTTATTTTTTTCACAACAATGATTACAGATTATGATGCCTACTATTTTCACATCACATTTCAGAACCTCTTCCAGGCTGTCCTAAACTTTATGGAAGCCATCTTGATCCCTGTACTCACAGGCCATGAAAATCAGCAGTGGGTTCATCAGGGTTAATAGCATTAACATAATGCCAGACCTCGTGAAAAAATGGTCAATGTTCACTACTTGTCAGACGATCGGACTAGTTTTAAACTTTTTAGCTCTGGTGGCTTGCTGCGTTAGTGCAGTGACGCGGTTGTGGTGGGTGGATTGCTTCATCATTGTTGTCATGATATTTAATGCCATCGTGTTGTTTATCCAACCATGGAAATCGCAACGGAGCTGTACACAACTCGATTGGATGAAACTTTGTGCAGACATAGTAGTAATCCTAAAATTCTGTCTCGAAATGAAATACAACGAAGAGTATTGTATCATATTGTATCAGGCTATTGTCATTTGGAGAGCCGGTAGGCGGGTGTGGCTAATATATGTCAATGACGATCACCGTGACGTTCTGCCCCGTCCATCTGAACTACAGATTGTTTAGAAGTAAGAACTGCCAAAAACCCAAAAATACAAACAGAATTTGCATTTAAATAAACTTTCTAGTTCTTAGTTTTCTTTGATGTAAACAATCCCTGTACTATACCACCATCACAACTCATCACCGTTTGGAATATGTAGTCGATTTAACGAAATGACAGGAGCCAGTTTGCCTGACAGAATTGACATTGATGTTGCTTCTCACAGTCGTTAGGCCTCATTCATTCAAACGTTCATTAATTGAAAAATAATCTGATCAGAAACGTCTCCTAAAACGGTATGTTAAAAAAAAAATATGGATTACACACCGATGCTGGAACAGAAGAACGCCGTACAAAATATTCATACAATCCGGATGGATTCGCTTTATTTATACAGAGTTTAATAAGGATTTCGTTTCGAGGGGTGCTTCAATTGGCTTGGAACCGAAGGTCTTGTACTTCCTGAGCCAAAAGATTGAGCATGTTTCTTCGGAATCCCCTGGTCTTAATGAAAGTCTATGGTATAACCACAGAGGTAACTCTAAGACCAGAAGGTCCCGAAGAAACGTGCTCAATTTTTTTGCTCAGCTCTGGTATTCTCTTCGGTCCCAAGCTAATAGATGCACCCCTCGGAAAATCCCAAGGGATCCTGCAATATTCTATGTTGGACGATTGAATCGTTGGTGTAGCAGCAACAAAAATAGCAGCCACCGCCATGAATGGTATAGTTTTTGTTTGGTTGTTGACTTTTCGACTAAAACTCAAACACCGCTGTCAGCTGACTTTGTCTTTTGTTCATCTAATATTTAAAATACGTAAAACCACTACCGCCATCTACTCATCCGATCGCGACATTTATATTGACTTGGTTGGCGTTTCACCTCGTTTAACAAATCTGATCGCCCGTTGGACAGATCAAATCGCTCATTTGACCTGTCGAATTGCGGACAAACGAAATGTTCCAGTGGCATGTCGGTTCGTCGGTTATGTTGGGATTGATTGCGGAGTGTTGCTAGCGATTGCCCTGATTTTTTCATGCTGGGTGGTCGGAATGATTGTACGCAGTCCGGCGCGAAATGATGTACCTACTTTTTCGGACAGCTATTAGGAAGTGCGCTGATTTAGGAGAATCCATGGCGAAACTTGGTGGAGATTCACGGTTGTGGTTTGAAAAAATTGGATTGTATTGTGGCAACATCAATAACATCTACTGCAAACATTTAATTTGTTTTATTTATTTTTATTTATTCGTCAATCAATCAAATCGTAGACTACATATTAACATTAGGACTTATGTTCTATGACTTCGCAGGGTTCTGAAATATACTTTTCATTCTGTTGAAGGCATATTTAGGTCAATCATTTCACAACAGTCATCATCTGATTTACCCAGAGTTAATGTACACGTGCATCCATCCCGCGTGATAGAGACACGCTTGCTATAAGATCGTAGGTGCCTGGTACATTTCGAGACGTATTATTTCGCGTTTCTTTTTTGTTCCTACGTGCCTTATTCGTGTCACATGTGCTGTGTCTCATGAGCTAAGCTCGGCGAGCTCCAGGGAGATCGGCAGCGTACCTACGTCCTGCGTGCATGCTAAAAGTGGCTGGTTGGTGGAGAACTGTTGTAGTCCTGTCACATTCTCGTGTTGCTGGTACAACTGATTGATTTCTATCAGTTGGTATTCAGTTTTTGAGGGTTGAGAGATTGTTGCTTTATAGAAGTATTTCAAGCGGAAGATGTGTTAAACCATTACGAACCAATTACCGGCGGGGTTATTTGCTACCGATCCATGCGCATGGAATTTTCATGGTTCAAAATATTGATTTAGCTCCATCAAGTTCAAACGATTTCAAATCAGCATCTGATCATTCTCACAAAATGTGTGCTCAATAGGATGTGAACTCATACTGCACTTGGCCCTTTGAAGTTTATGTGGGAATTGAAAAATTGAACGTTAGGATTATTAGTTATTGATTGATTAGGAAGATAATGTTCTTCTGACATGGTTCATTTACTGTTCAGCAGACAAAAAAATTAGGCTATTATGTCATAAGGGCAAGATGCAATGTTGCCCTGAACACAGCCGATTAATCCTACCAGCACGTTATCAACTTGGAAATTAATTAATAACAAATTTGCTTGACATTCAACAAAGTTGTAGCTGGGAAATTTTCACGTAAGAGGGGGGGGGGGGGGGCTCTGATGGACAACTTTTCCGTAAATCATTATGATGCAGGGCTTGCAGTACTTGCAATACACTTTTCTTATAGTAATTCCCGTATAAACTTCAAAGAGCCTGTGCAGAATCAGTTCGCCACCAAATTAGTTCAAATTTTGGGATATTGATCAGCCTGATTTTGGATCCGATTGATCTTGGTGGATCAAATTGATAGGTATTTTGCAGCTGGCAGAGAACCAATAGTTCGGAGGGCCCTTTAAAAAAAAACTTCGTTGTTGAAATTGATTCGTAAGACTTCATCCATCAGTATTTTCAGCCTTTCAAGCTGTAGCCGACATCACTAGTTAATTCAAACATCTACTTAAATTTGAGAACTGTTCAAATATATTTAGACAAAAAGCATGGTATGTTCGTCCCAAGTAGTAGTCAACCTGAAAATATGATGAGAAATAAGAAAACTGGATTGTAAATTTTGGGATGAATCCAACATATTTGTCACACTCAACGGTCAGTATATGAATCGAAAACCATGTTTTCCAAAATGTATATTTAGTAGGTTCAATATCTTTGAAAACTCTGTGGAGCCGAAGGACTAAACAAATATTCCAATGGAGATCTAAATCGATTTCCTATATTATTTTTTTTTGTTTGCAACGCATCGAATCTCGACAGATCCACAAACCCTTTCTGTCGATGATGCTGATGTTCGTTTTTGCATGCTTTATCGGCCTCCTGAGGGCACGTCCATTATCACTACCTCTTCATGCAGCACTTCTACCACTTCCTCTGTTGATTTGCTGGTGCTGTCTGACAATGCACCTACAGCCACTACACCAGGGTACGAACTGCTATCCGAGTTGCAAGGAATTTTGTAGTTGTTCAAGAAACTTCGTGGTACTTCAGGGAGCTTTTTAAAAGTTCAGGAAAATTTCTTGAAGTGCAGATTTTTCTTTAAAGTTCAGCTAACTTTGTAGAAGCTCACTGAACTTCATTGAACTTCGTAGAGTTTCATCGAACTGCTTCGATTACTCTTCTTCTACGTTCCTGAAAAAGTTATAAGACAACGACACTTCATACACCTTGCAGCTCGTAATTGACAGTATGGGCTGAATGAGGCTATTCATACTGTCGCTAATGTGATTACTTTATGCTTCGTTTGACACTAATGTTCCGTTAACTGTTTTCACTAGAACATTATATTTTGTTTTATGCATTAAGACCAACATATGTCAGATGAATCATGAGCTAAATTTAGTGAAATTATTTAAAATTCTAAAATCATGGAAAAGTTCAGAAAAATTCGTAGAAGTGGGAATTTTATACAAGTTTAGGTATCTTCGTAGAAGTTTATTGTGTAATGGCAGGGAACCTCTTTATTATTCAGGGACCTTTTTTATAAGTTCAGAGCTTTGATGAAACCTCATGGACTTGAAATAATTCAGAGAATTCCGCACAAATTCAGTAAATTTCGTGCGTCGAGCTTTGCGCAAAATCAACGAGAAACGTAGACGTGAAGCAAGCTTTGATGAAGTTTTGTGGACTGCGTAATAATTCGAGGAACTGCGTATAACTTCATAGAAGTACAGGGCATTTTGAAAAAGTTTAGGGAATTTCGTAAAGATAGAATACTTTAGGGATCTTCGTTTCAGTTTAGGGAACTTCATAGCAGTTTGTCAGAGATCTTAAAAATCTCAATGAACTTCCTGAAGATGAAGATTTTGGACCATCGTTTAATTTCAAGGTACTTAGAAATTTGAGTAAATTTTCTAAAACCTAAGGAAATTTTGTAGATGTTCAGGAAACGTTGCATAAGTAACAGGATATTCTTTCAGATATGCTCCCTAGACAGCCAGGAAGTTTTAAAAGATCAGCATTTGCTGATGTTCTTCTGATCTGAATTAGCGAGTTGCTAAAAAAAAGGATGACTTAAGAATGTGCTTAAGTTTTTGAATATCATAATTTTTCAAATGGATAGATCAACTTTCAACACGGAATTTTCCAAATTTAAACCATACACTCTGGTAACATGGTGGCTTGATCGGTTGATCTGTTGCAGGTTGTAGCAATGGCTGTACCACTTTCTGGTTTGTCGTAGCGAGATGGTGGCGTCACTTTGTGGAATTGGTGCCGATACTCCCCAACTAACAATTTTAGCTGCAGATTAGCTTATACAGCCAAAAATTGGCTTATACAGCTAATATTTGCCTGTATAAGGTAGTCTGCAGCTAAAATTGTTTGTTGGGTCAGGCGCTTCCTTCTGACACTGTTGGTATACAAAGGCAAGGTCGCCCATTATCTAACCGAAAAGGTTATTTCTTCTTAGCGATTGCGGACATCGACGCCAAAACGATGCCATCGAAACCCTCAGAGCAATGGTCAGCAGAAGCCACCTAGATCGTACCGTGCCAACCAGAAAGCGATTTGAAGGAACAGAACAGAAGGTCGGTAGACTTGGTGATATTAATAATTGAGTGGTAAACATATCACTGCACTGGTCTACACGCTCATCTGAGTTAAAGCCAACGATGCCCGCTCATGTCACTATTTTGCTGCAGCTATTTAGCATAGACCGCGCCATCACCCACTGTTATAGAATTTATCTGAATGCTCGATCACATGAGGCACATTAAAAAAAAAATCTGAACATTTTTAAAGTAATGGTAACAAAGTAAAAGTGAACGCGTAAAGGTAATACGCCAAGAATAAATGTTCTGCAAAAAAATCTTTCACCCATTGAATTATCATAACATTACTGCATTCGTAGCATTCCGATATAATCTATT